ACATATCCTGTCCTAGGGTGAGAACATTCACTCTCTGCACTGTATCTAGGGAGTAGTGGCATTGTCACCCTAGCCTGCTTTCCTGATTTGGACTACAAACAACCCCTCCTCTCCTCATCTCCATTACACAAAAAGTGAGGTCTTCTAGTCCACATAAGATAACTTGAAACGCTTATAACATTGTTTGAGATATCTGTGTAGTACAAGGTCCCTTGATTTCTGGCAGGATCAAGAAGTATTTTTGGTACTTGCAGAAAAAAAACTTAGCCTAAAAAAAAGGAATACTAATGTAGTTATGTTACCAGGACTGGTAGGCTGCAATATATTACATTTCTCTTCTTGGGTTTAGCTTTCCTTTAGGAATTTTAATTGTTCCTGTAGATGATCGGATACATTGTTTTGGTCTGAATGAGTCCTCATAACAGGTCTTTTCTCTTGCTCAGCTGCATTACAGGCTCTTAAGAGAAAAAAGAGATTGGAGAAACAGTTAACGCAGATTGATGGCACCCTCTCCACCATTGAGTTCCAGAGAGAAGCACTAGAAAACTCCCATACCAACACCGAGGTGCTGAAAAACATGGGCTACGCTGCCAAGGCCATGAAGACAGTACACCAAAACATGTAAGTAGCTCTCGAATGTGTTTATCTTTGTAATGCTCACCACCATACCGTATGATCTCTGTAATATGAGGACCTACCTAATCTATACAATCAATTTATATCCAATCAGGCAGGCTCTTGCACTACATCTATGTTGGTAAATCTATAGGAGGTTGTACAATTATATTATAATGTGTGTGGTGAGCTTAACAGATATTTAGTAGACCTAGGATGTACTGGGAGATGCAGGGGGCAGTGTACACTAGATTCCGTACCACATTAAAAAGAATTCAACCAAATGATAGACTCACAGTGAGTGCTATACCTCCTTCCTCCGATGTAGCTCCATGGAACACTGGTGCACAGTAGAAAAAAAGTGTTAGCACACTGTTCTGGATCCAGTTATAATCTTCTTTATTTATTTAAGGCATAAAACCAAATACAGCAGTCCTGCTAATGTGTTTTAGGCCAAAGAGGCTTTAATCATGCTAAGATTAAGGCCTCTTTTTGCTGGAACAGGGCTGTAGCTACCATGGGGCGAGTGAGGCACTTGCCTCAGGCTCAGCTGATAGGGAGCGCAGCCAGGGCCGACCTGGCTGCGCCCCCTTGCTCCTGTTGCCATGGCGGGCACAGGGTGCCATGGCAACAGGGGCACCAGGTGGCCAACACAGCCATGGTTCGGCAGGGAGAAGAGGGACAGCACAGGCTCCAGCTTCTCCTCGGATCCCCGCTGCTCTCCCCTGCCTGTATGGGCAGAGGCAGCGGGGATCAGATGAAAAATGGAGCGCTGAAGCTGGCGGGGAAGGGGGGGGGGGCGGAAGAGGGAGATGTCATCCAGGATGGCCGAGCAGTGAGGAGAGAGCTGCTCGGCCTGGCGGCTCTTTCTCTCCTCACTACTCGGCCATCCTGAAGTGTCAGTGCTAACTGGATGATATAGTAAAATATTTTACTATCACCAGTTTCGGAATAAATCGGGAATAAATTGGGAAGCCTCTGTACTGAGTGTCCTCCATTCATTTAGAACAGAGGCTGAAGAAAAAGAGATTAAGGACTCAATTTCTTTTTATATTTCAAAAGGGAAATGTCAGAGGTCTGACCCCTAATATTTCCCCGGAGGCCCCAACAGTAAAAAAAACAAAAAAAAACCACACACGCACTCATGCACACATATTATTAAACATGTGCAAAGACTAAAAATTTGTTTCGGGCGAAATAAACAGAAACTAAAAATGTTTTCATTAATTTCGTCAAACGAAACAAATTGTATGCTATTTTGGATTTGGCCACCAGCGCATTCTACACATGCGCGCCCCATCCTGGGGGCGGGGACCTTGACATCACATGATGCCGCGCGTGTGTGGCGTCGGGTGACATCACACGTCTGTTGGGGGGCACAATTTTCTGTTCTTGCATCGAACGCAAAAGGAGCTAGCTACGGATCTGGGCTGGAACGACCTACAGGACTGCTATATCTGGTTTATGCCTTGAATAAATAAATAACATTTTGACTGTATCCAGAACCGTGTGCAAACACAACACTTTTTATCTACAGTTCAACCAAATGAAACCAAATCAGAGCATCCAGCCTTTGGAGTTCTGTTGGTGTTTGTTATAATGTCTGTGAATAGTAACTCCCGTGAACACTGAAGAAATAAGTAACTTCATGAGTGATATGCGTATGCTTACACTGCACTCAGCTTTGCTCTTGAGACTTCAGACTGGCACGATTGTGGCCGGAACGCATTGTGGCTGGTGTGAACTTCGCATTGCGGCCGGAGGGCGTGGCTGCGGTGCCATTCACTTCAATGCACCACCACGCCCCCCTCTAGCCCCACAACAAAGTGAGCCAGCCGCAACGCAATCCAGCGCGTTCCAGCCACAATTGTGCCAGAACGCACTGTGGCTGCTATGAACTAGCCCTCAGGTGTCCTAGAGACAGCATTTCTCTGCCATAACTGATGCGTCCTCTGCAACTTTATTCTCTCAAGCAGTTTAAGATAATAGATAAATAAAATAAAACTGAATGGAAGAAGCAGTAGGATTTGGAAAGCAACATTAACCCCTGTTCTCACCGGTGCCTTTGCTGCAGTACCATTCATTTATAATAGCTCCCAAAATGCGTCTGTTGGAGCTTGCACCATGCATTGTGGTTCAGCATGTTTTAGAAAGGTGCCCCAAAAACAAAGTATAGGCACCCAAATCCCACTAAGCTGACATGTCAATCATATCAGCCCACGTACTCTTCTAAATGTTCAATTAGTTAAATGAGATGTTGTATGAAGTAGGTCATGAGTAAATGATAACATGAGTTTCAACGGAAAGAGTTAAGTGTTTGCTTTTCAGCCTGCTTGTGAAACAGTAACCCACACTGATAACAAAAGATTACTCAAGGCTTGTGCTTAAGAGTCATGTGCAGGGGCTGTTCAGTGATAAGGGGAAGAAGTGACTAATGGTTCTTTAGTTGGGACTATAAACATACAGGTGACTTGAAACCAATGCATAGCTCAGCAAATACCTGCAGGAAGTTATCAGAACGGTTTTATACTGCCATAAGCAAAGAGAGCTTTCATTCACATGCCCTCTTAGCTACTTTTATTTTACCACCCCAATGACCACAGAGCTTCATGTCTGTACATTACTCTTCACCACCATGTTCAAGAGCAGGCATGTCATTTGTGGAGACTGTACAGCTGCACACGGGCCCTCTAGGATTTAAGGGCCCATTTTTGTTAGATGTCAGTCAGATGGGCGCTGGAACCCCTCCTGCTGTGTCATAGACCTGGACACAGCTCAGTTATGTATAGCTGTCAATTAATACACAATGAATAAGACTTTGACTTTTTATTTGGCCAATAGTTGAATGAGATGCCCAAAAATTGGTCTTAAAGGGGCCCCTTGGTGACTGTCTGCCACTGACGAGCTTGCTGGAGAATCTGTGTCTCTTAAGCTGGCCATACATGTTTAGAATTTGGCCATGGGGCTACACAAGAGAGATCCATCAATCCGCACTAAACAGCATAGATGGGGTAATCCTCGCTGCCAAACTATTGCGTCCAGCAACCACTTATTCAGCCACTGCTGAAAACCCCAACATTGCATTTGTCTCATTGGATGAATTTTCGGACTGGCTTCTTCGACAAAAGTCAGTTTGAAAATAGACTTTTGTCATGTGTATG